GGGTTATAAAGAAAGTATCCTTCTTTCCCTCGAGAAAGGATACAGGAATCTGTGTCTTGACGCAGTACTTAGAGCCACATCTCACTAGAAGGAACCCATTTTGGAAGACAAGCTGAAATAACCCCACAGGGCTGGAGGGGCAATGCAGAATGGGGCTCTGAGATGCTGCAACAGTGCCTCTCGCAAAAGGGGGTTGTGCACGCTGGCCCAGAGCTGTGCTGCAAACCCATTTCGCTGGGAATTGCTTAAAGGAAGGATTTGAAAAGGCCGGGTCCTTCTTTCCTAGTGACCTGAAAAGAGTAGAAAGGAAAACCCCATTAGGGAGCGGGGGAGAGGCCGGGGCAGGCAGGGGCCTGAGCTGCGCACTCGCATTAAGGTCAGCTGCTGTTCTTTGGGATTCAGATGATTTAGGTTACTCTGCCAGCTGGATCCTCTCAAGGCTGATGCTAAGGAACACAAAAGCCTTTTGTCCTTCATGGGGAGACTTTTGAGTACAAGGAGTCGGGCTGTGCTCCTAGTGAGACTCCTGCCTTTTTCTGTAGGCATTTGAATGCCTTCAATTCAGACATGTGTGGCTGTATTGTGTAGTCCAGGGGAAAAACCCACAGCATTAACATCAGCAGTGGCACTCACTGCTTCCTGTGTTCCAGATATTCCTCAGTTCTGCGGGCTTTGCTTCGGATTTTGAACAAATCTTTACAAATAACCCCATCAGTCTGACAAAGCATCATCTAATATTGCTCCAAAGCTGCCCATAACATCACTGGGGTTTGGAAGGGTCTCTGATACATGAAGTGCTATCAGACAGGCAATGAGGTACCAGGCACTGCTTTTAATGACCGTTTTCACTGCATTCCTCTCAGACACATCATGAATCAGGTGAGAATGTTTTCCTGTGCGGGGTCGTAACCTGCACGGCTGAGGTTTCTGACTCAGCAGACATGCATCCTGCATGAAGACTCACGGATCTGCTCACCCGCCTCTCAGAAGCAGCTCAGCAGATAGAAGCTCTTCTTTCCTGCTCACCCTGCAGCAGAGGTGAAACCATGTGTGCTGCAGTCTGTTCAGCCTCAGGCCCCAACGCCCTAGGGATGGGCACCACCTACAAACCTGCCCTGGGCAGGCCACAAAAGTCTGTATTCATGCACAGGTTAAAGAAGATGTTCCCCGCCCTCAGTGTCAGGTTCTGGGACGAGTTGGCAGGGCTGGGTGCTCCCCTGTATGTTTATCAGCTGGCTGAACTGGATATGTTGTTAATGAACACCTATCATTCTACAGTCACATTTCAAGAGTGGTGTTGTGCTTGGCTCTGCTGCAGGGTTTCCCAGATCACCAACAGTGTTTTCTGCTTACAGGAGCTCACAGGAAAGCTGCCACGAGAATACCCCCTAGATCCTGGGGAGGAGCCGCCTATTGTAAGGAGAAGAATAGGAACTGCCTTTAAACTGGATGAGCAGAAAATCTTGCCTAAGGGAGAGGTGAGGCTGTGCCCTTCCCTTCCAGCCCCGTGTCCCCACCTCAGGTCTCTAAGATGTCCACCGTGCGTCACATAGGAACCCTCAGTCCTACGGTCATTTTTGCATTAAATGAGTGTGGTTGTGCCTTTTTTTTTTTACATCCATCAGAACAGGGAAGTGGCGAGAGAGTTGGTGGCCTTAGTTCAGACTCAAAGTAAAGGTTAAACCCTCGAAGTTCAGCGCTGGCTTTTCTAGAGGTAACAGAAATAGCCTGGGTGACCAACTGGACCATGGCAGTGCAAGTGCTCTGGTGACCAAGTGCAGTGACTTGTGTGACTCGGGAGCCCATCGGGAGCCCCTTGAGCCATCTGAGCTCTGCTGCTGCCCTGTATTGTCATTGCAAACAGCCACTTTCTTTCTGCTTCAGTAGCAATCCGAATTCAGATCTCCCCTAAGCGGGGAGGAAAGCATCACAAATATCCATCTTAGCCCTGAAATAGCAAGATGAAAGCATTTTGCTCCCCAGTCTTTAAACAAAAGAGCCTTCATCCCTACCTATGGGGAGCTGGAATTATGTTTTTCTAAGTTTGCCAGGGAGTGTTTGTTCTCTTGCCTTGCTCCCACAATGTGCTGGGTCAGTGCCCTGAACCGTGGCTGTGAAAACAGGCCTGCAGCAGCTGTAAGGCGGGACTGGATTCACAGAAAAGCTATTGTCTGCAGGGACGCATTTGTCTCAAGACACTTGTGTATATTCCAGTCTTGAGTTTCCTTTTTATTTTTGTAAGAGGAGAGACTGAAGCTGGTGTGACTGTGTGGTTTAAGGCTCGGTTCAGCCAGGGAATTAACTGTTTGTCGTTTTGCTGGCATTTTCCTTCTGCTGAAAAAATAAACAGCTGGAGCTCTTTAGTTTTTGTTCTCAATGGAGCCTGGGAGAGGAATTCCACCGAAGTCAAATATTCATGAACTAGCACATTTAATTAAGCTTTTCAAAGGGAAGCACGGCTTAGCTGAGTTACTCCTAAAACCCCTGCAGTCTGTTGGCTGCTCAGTTATAACCTGATCTCCTGCTTCCCCGGATCCTATTGCTACAAGGCAGCTTTTGGGGCCAGCGGGTGAGGAAACTCCTTACTCCAGTGGCAAGGTTAGGTGGGGAGAGCATGAAGGTAAAGCAGCTCCTCCTCATTGCAGGCACTCTGCATTTTGCCATCAGCAATCCAAACATGCTGACTCAGCTTTTCTCTACCTCCCTTTTAATCTGTCAAACTTGAAGACTGTGTTGAAAACCATAAATTTCCGTTGTTGAAGAATGATGTTGAGCTGTGTTCATTTGGCTGCCAGTCTGAGAGCATTTAGAGAGGCCAGCGATGATTTTCATGCGCTTTTCAGCAAGTGCAAACACTAGAAACTCAATTTAAAACAAAAGGTGAAATGCTCCCTCAGTCATGTAAATACAGGACTGATATTACCGACTGTGACAAGGACCTGCAGCAAGGCACTTCCACCTGGAGGCAGATGATAGCCCTCGTTTTCTGAGGCTTTATTTATTGGGGCCTCACTGGAAGAAAATAGACAATTATGGCTGGGAGGAAAATGAATATGTTTTTTCTAAGATATGCTGAAGGATTTAGAACTGAATCTGTGAAGGTCTGAAATGACAGCTCACATCAAACTCACAATACCTTTAGTAAGACCTTTGTCAGAGCAAGACTTGCAGGGAAAAGTCCTATTGTATTTCTTGGTAATCAGCTCTACCTGGTCTGTATTCCTGACTCTGGGAAGGATTTTACCAGAAGATGGCAAATCAGATTCCAGGCCTTAAAACTCCATGGTGTTAAGTTCACTTTTAATACGTTTGGCACTGGTAGAGCTTATAAACTCTTCAAAGCAAGAAAGGATCTGTTAAAAAGATGGGGGGTGGGTTCAGTCTTCAATACAGTGAGGGAAATTATAATTATCGTTTTAAGGCAATGCTGACTCACCACTGACAGCAAAGGGATTTTTTTTGAGCCAGAAGCCTAGAATAAAAACTTCAGAGAATGAATTCACTCTGATTAATTCCCACAGCATCGGCTCTTGCAGCATATGCTGCTGCTAAACAAAGAGAAAGGATTTGAATTTGCGTAATGGGGATCTCCGTGAATACGTGCCTGTCAGTGCTTGTGATCTGAACTCGCACCATTCACTAAAAGTAAAAGAGCTCGTCATTTTTTCCCTAATTTGCAGTGTACTATGTTCTGCTTTCTAGAAAACTTAACACCAAAAGCTCCATCGAGCTGGGGAAGTAGCCAGATTTGTTGCAGATGAGCAAGTACCATTGAAGCTCACAGCTTGGGGTCCCAGTGCAGACCAGGAAGCTCTCTGTCAGCTTCTGCGTTGGCATGAATTGTCCTAAATCCCTTGACTTTGGAGGATAACTAAAAATCAGTAGGTAGCTTCCAGGGTACAACCTGGTTGCATTTAAAAACTCAGCTGAGACCCTGCAAGGGCTAATGTTGGAGACACTAGTCCTTTCTGGCATACAGAAAGCTTGCTGTTACACACTGCTCGCTCTGAAATCACCCTCCTGGCTTGTAACTCAAGGAGACAATTTTCTGGTGATATCATTTTGCAGCAGCCCATATTACTTCAGCTCATACTTCACTGGATTTTCACAGCCGTACACCAGGGAGGAATTAGCCCATTTTTGGCTTTTTTACTCCAAAGAGTCTGATGGGTGGCAAGCAAACCTGTCAAGAAGGTTGAAACTGTAGCTTTGCATCAATACATAGCACTGATATCAAATGAGGCTCAAATATGGAGATAGGAAACGGGGAGAAGGAGCAGGTGGGAGGCAGGTGTTACCCGTAGATGGGTGAAAAAGGATGATTGTGTCAGCAGTAGAGCGCAGTTGAACTAGGCCATATTGAACTGCATGAAAAGCCAAATGCCAGAGCAGGGTTAGGGCTGGAGCACACATCTCCTCCTTGTGTGGGTCATCCCTTCCGCCAGCTGTGCTCCCAGGCACTCGTGTGAGCAGGTGAAGGTGAGATGGGTATGCTCAGGGAGGCCCTGAGATGAGGGGAGCAGCATGATGGTGGATGCTTTGCTGATGGAGAGCCACTGGCCAGGTTCAGGGGGAGCTTCCCCATAGCCGGTCTGGCAGAGTTTGGTGGTAGCCGGAATCCACTTGCCTTTCCCCAGGAGGCAGAGCTGGAGCGCCTGGAGAGGGAGTTTGCCATTCAGTCCCAGATCACAGAGGCTGCCCGGCGCCTGGCGAGCGACCCGAACGTCAGCAAAAAGCTGAAGAAGCAGAGGAAGACATCCTACCTGAACGCCCTGAAGAAACTGCAGGAGATTGAAAACGCCATCAACGAGTATCGCATCAAATCTGGAAAGAAGCCAACCCAGAGAGCCTCCCTGATCATAGATGGTAAGTGGGATGTAGCCCCCACGGCATCACGGAAGGGTCTGTAGAGGACAGGGAGCAAAATGCTTGCCTTGAGGCACAGATGTCTCCTCCCTCCTCTTCCCTCTCCTGTCTGGAGGACTCTGGGTGCTGGCAGTCAGGCTGTCCTCTCCCGTACAAGCATGCTGTCAGATGGGTGCCTGGGCTGCGTGTGGTGCATTAGGGATGTGCTGGTTCACAGCACAAGAAGCAGTGTCACGCTGTAGATTATAAGTGTGTCAGGAAAGCAGACTGTGACTCCTTTGTTCACCTATAAAACTGCTCTGGTAGCGTCTCCTCCGGAGTGCTGCTGTACAAATGTAATTAATGTTAGCAGATTGGGGTGAGCGCTCTAGCTGAAAGGCATCTGTAAAATCAAAGTGGTAGCAGTGTCATTGCTGTGTTCAAATGCTCTTTTTCTTTTTCTTTTTTTTTTTTTACAATGTAATTCTCAGGGCACTTTATGGTTTACTGCATTGTTGATTGTTTTTTTGTGAAATCCATTAACTTTCTGCTGTGGTTCTTTTTCCCTTGCTGATTTTGCCCTTTGCCTTTGACTTGCAGAGCTGTTCTCTGTGCAGAACAGGCCCTTTGTAGCAGGAACTGAGATTAGACCTGCTGTATTTGTGACCTGGGTACCAAGTTGCACCATAGTCAGGGATAACAGACAGCTGTGAGGACATGGGATGGGGGAGGCAGCTCAAATGTGTGAACTCCAAGGATGTGAGAGCTTCTCCTGCTGCTACAGAGGATGCTCAGAAGCCATTTCCCTGAATTACACAAAACTGGTATCTAGTGTGGGCCTTTAGTTAGCAACAGGACGATCATTTTAAGAAGGTGGAGATCAAACCCAGAGTCCTTAAGGCCCTAGATATAAATCTGGCTAATGGCACCGTGCCATTTTACATCCTCTGGGGATCTCAGCTCCCCGCTGTGACTCAGTCTTAATCCCCATTAATTGAAAAGAGTTAGCAGCTCCTCAAAAGGCAGCCTGCTAGTGAGAGGCCTGGCCTGCAGCTCTGCCCTCTGAGACTGAGAGTGGGCTGAGTCAGTTGTTCATGGGAATCTTGCCTCTCGGCTCTGTGAGAAAGAAGACTGGGTGACTGCTTGAGGCTAAGACTCAGTGGACGAGGATGACGGGGCAGTTCAGCACTCAAGTCACTGCGATTCTCGGGACCATCTGACCATCTTTGTATTTTCTTCTCTTCAGAAGGAAACATTGCCAGTGAAGACAGCTCTCTCTCGGATGCCCTTGTTCTTGAGGATGGTACGTTGGCTGCTGTATGTTCTAGAGGGCAGGAAGGAAACGGGGAGGGATGTGTGAACTCTGGATCGGCACTCAAATGGAGGAACTGTTCTGTGTAATAAACCACTCAAACATCCCGGTAGCAAAAATGCTTGCGTTCCCCTGACTCCACCTTGTAGTCAGACATCAGGCCTGGAGCCGTGAGTATTGCCCTGGTTACTGCTCTGAATTCTTTTGAAAGACAGTCCCAGAATGCCCCCTTACTTTCTCTTAAGGTTTCAGTTGTTTTAATCTATCACATAGTCTGGCTGGCTGGCCATTCCCTCCCAAAATGGGAATGTCAGCTGGTGCACTTCTGGAAGCTGGGTCTTCAGTTTGCTCCTGAACGCAACCAGGGGAAGTGGGATAAGGCAGCAGGCTCTGGAGGTCTGATGGTGTCCCCCGGGGTTGTGCTGCCATTGGAGGTATCACACGGCCATCACCTCTCTCCCTTCTTCTCTTCACAGAGGATTCTCAGGTCACCAGCACAATATCCCCTCTCCAGTCCCCACACAAAGGACTCCCTCCCCGGCCACCCTTGCACAACAGGCCTCCTCCTCCGCAGTCGCTGGAAGGCCTCCGCCAAATGCATTACCACCGCAATGACTATGACAAGTCCCCCATCAAACCCAAGATGTGGAGCGAGTCATCCTTGGATGAACCCTATGAGAAGGTCAAGAAACGCTCCTCACACAGTCATTCCAGGTGAGCCAGCTATTTTGAAGCTCCATCACACAGATACCCCTCTGCTTTCAGGAGGGGTGGGTGGGAGCCCTTTCAAGATATGCGAAGCTATCCCTTACCAAAAGGAGACTTTTAGGTGTTTCGGCCAATAGGCACATCATAAAAACAGGCTGCAGCCACATGACTGCTGCTTGGTGTCTCGATGTTGTTTTAAAAACCGTTTAGAAAATAAGGATGGTGGATCATCCGAGGGCTTTGATAGGGCTTGGCCTTGACCTCCAGCTGCTGCAGAAGCACAGGCTCTGCGATGCAGCTCAGAGCAGCAGCTGACCCAGCTCCTGCTCACCCCCGCAAGATCACAGGCGCACGCCTGAGATCTGGAAACAGGCGTGAGAGCCCCTGCCCCAAATTCCTGCCCGGGAACTGAAGCGGGGTGTTTGCTCTGCAGCAGTCACAAGCGGTTCCCCAGCACCGGGAGCTGTGCCGAGGCGGGAGGGAGCAGCTCGCTGCAGAACAGCCCCATCCGGAGCCTTCCCCACTGGAACTCCCAGTCCAGCATGCCATCGACGCCGGATCTACGGGTACGCAGTCCGCACTACGTCCACTCCACACGGTAAGTCTTACCGGCTCCGGTCTCACCTTGTTTATCCTGAAATAAATATTCCTTGCTTTGTCCTTCCCCCAGGATATGAATTAACTCCCAGTTCAGGAAAGGACACGCACCAGTCCTATTCACATAAGAGGCTGATGTACTGTTGCCAGTAGGGGATCTCTCCTGAACTGCCACCCTGAAATCAGATAATCATGATCCTGCCCCTCATCTCTCGGAGTAATCAGGGTTTTCTTCTGCTGGGACCTTTCAGGGTCTGTTTATAGGTGCTACAAACCCCACGACACTTTTAAAAGGGCTGTGGTGCTACTGATAAATTCTGCAGTAAATTCCTGCATGGATCCAGCTGGCGAGAACATGTTGTTTCCTGTCTGATACAAAATCTTGGGTAGTGTTAATTCTCTCTCATAGATAAAATGTTTGCACATGTGACCTTATGTGGAGACAGAGCCTATATAAAGCAATCCACACGAGGATCCAGGTGGCAGTGAAATAGGCCCAGGGCTGACAGAGAAAAGAGCCAAAGTATGTAAGGGAGGTGATTTGATGTGCGTGGCCCAATTTGACAGCAGCATTTCTACGAACCGTTCAGCTTCACTGCTGTTTTGCTCTCGTGGCAAACTCCACGGACACCGCGGGAAGCAGAGCTGAGCCAGGGCTGCGTGGTGTTAGGTGTCCTAAGGGGTAGGGCTAACATCACGGAGCTCGGCATAAATCAAGAGTCACGCCAACACATCTGACTCGAGCAGAGATGATACAAGGCGCTAAGGACGTGGGTTCGGTTTGTTACAGGCTCTTAGCTGGGAGTACCTTTCAAGAGTGCAACGTTTGTTAACACTGGAGCCGAGCTGCATGAGAAATGAGCCTGGCACAGTGCTTGGGAAGTGGCCTTGACTGGGTCGGGACTCTGGGTGTTTGAAACAAGCCTTACTCAGTCTGTGGCTCATTCATGAGCTGCGTGCCCTGGCCTTGCCAGGCGAGTGTGAGTCGTCACGGGGTGTTCCTGCTCCTTGAACGGATGGCTGAAGCTCTCCAAACAGCCGGGGTGAATAGAGACCACCCAGACTTGGCTGTGAATCGAGCCTCGTAAACTGCAGTTCGAGGTGGTTGCCTCAAACATGTACTACCCGCGGCTGGGACCCAGTAAAACTTAGCTGCTTGACAAAAGTGACTTTTCCAAAGGCCAGTGGAGAAATCACTGCATTATGGGCTGAGTATGGGCAGTCTGTCTGTCTGTCTCACACCAGGTGGATTGTACCTGTGCAGCGCATTCATGAGCCACTTGCAAGGGAATCCCGCCAGCTTTGAGACTAAGGTCTCAGGGTTTGCAGAGCTGGAGCGAGGTGAACCTGGTAGCACAGACGTGGTGCTGATTCAAACAGCTCTGCCACGGGGGCTACACCAGCAAAGCCCGAGCTTGAGGTCCCCGGGTTTTGCCTTCAGGCTGGGTCTTTCCCAGGGTGGCAAGCCTCAGAGGAATGGGGCTGGGAAAGGGCTTATGTCCCACGTGGTGCTGCAGACTGAATGCTGCCACCAAGGAAAGTGGAGAGGAACAGGAATAGGACCAAATCACCCCAAACCCTCAGCAGGGAAGCAGGCTGCTTTGCAGGCAGCAGCCCCACACAGTGCTGGAAGGGTCCAGGTTTTTCAGTGCCCTCAGATTCCCTTGCCAGCGAGATTGGCCTTGTGTGCAGAAGGGGATGGGGAGTGCTTCATCCTGTTGACTTACCAGCCTGGATTTTTTTTCCTGGTACCCGCAGGTCAGTAGACATCAGCCCGACCAGACTGCACAGCTTAGCTCAGCACTTTAGACACCGGAGCTCCAGTTTGGAGTCACAAGGCAAGCTCCTCGGCTCAGAAAATGAGACAGGGAGCCCCGATTTCTACACCCCAAGGACTCGTAGCAGTAACGGCTCTGACCCCATGGACGACTGCTCTTCCTGCACCAGCCATTCCAGCTCTGAGCACTACTACCCCGCTCAAATGAACCCCAACTACTCCACCCTGGCAGAGGACTCCCCATCGAAAGCCAGAGAGCGGCAGAGGCAAAGGCACAAATCAGCAGGCAACCTGGTCTCTTCCAATTCAGGGAGTATGCCCAACCTGGCTGCGAGGAACGGGACCGGGCACCACCGCGTCTACCTGCACAGCCAGAGCCAGCCCTCCTCCCAGTACAGGATCAAAGAGTATCCCCTGTACATCGAGGGCAGCTCCACACCCGTGGTGGTGCGGAGCCTGGAGAACGACCAGGAGGGACATTACAGCGTGAAAGCACAATTCAAAACCTCCAACTCCTACACAGCGGGGGGGATGTTTAAGGAGAACTGGCACGGGGATGAAGTGGACTCCGTCAGGCTCACCCCTTCCCGCTCCCAAATCATAAGGACTCCATCTCTGGGCAGGGAGGGCCACGAGAAAGGCTCGGGTAGGACTGCCGTGTCGGATGAGCTGCGGCTCTGGTACCAGCGGTCCACGGCCTCCCACAAGGAGCACAGCCGCCTCTCGCACACGAGCTCCACTTCTTCGGACAGCAGCTCCCAGTACAGCACATCTTCGCAAAGCACCTTCGTGGCGCACAGCCGAGTCACAAGAATGCCTCAGATGTGTAAAGCAACATCAGGTGAGAGCTGGGCCCCGGCAGAGGGGTGGGAGGGACGGGGGGGGCTTCATGCAGCCGGGGGGGCTTCATGCAGCCGGGATTCGTGCCAGGTGTGACAGCGCGGCTGGAGAGCGGTGCCAGACCGTAGCACAATATCTGGCCTTCACATGCTGCTCACCAAGCCTGTAAGCGTAACACTGGGGCCCAGCGTTGTCCAAGACACTCAGCGGGTGAGAATTTTTTTCCATGGAAATCATCACTTTGCAAGGAGGGGCTCAAAAGACAGGAAGGGACCTAAGAAGCCCCGTTGTTGCCAGGTCTCTCCTCAGACTGCAGTTGGGTTTTGGGTGATGGCGTTAAGGGCTGAACATGGAGAAGCCGTGGGGGAGGGTCACTCTCAGTAATCACAGCAAGGGGAGCGATGAAGCGAGCAGGGGCTCAGCACGGACTAGGAGAATGCCTGTCCTCAGTGAAACACCAAAAGCATGAGAAAGGTTAAGTGGGGAGCATCCCAGCCCCTCCAACCCCCACAGAAATGTTTGAGCAATGACATCTTTGTGCACTGCTGAGACTTGGTTTTCCCATGCAGCTCTGGTAGCTCTGCTGATAATACCCTGAAATTCAGAGCGCTTAAGTTTGTGCAGTATTATGCCTTTCTGTCATGTACAGAGCTTTGCACTCCTCTGTGCTGTTAATATTAAATAGCAAGAAAACAGCCAAATTCATTAAACTGAGGAGGCCACTATGTGTTATGAAGCAGTCCAAGGTTAAATATTTACTGGCCATCAGTCACCGCTGGACAAGTCACTTTGGATAGATCAAGGACTTGCTAAAAACAGGAATCCAGCCCCATGGGATGGAATTGCTGGTTAATCAGCGTTTGCACCGTGCCCATCCCCACCCTTCCACGTGCCTCAGCCTTGGCATGGGAGACACCGTTGCTGCGGCCTCGCTCGCCGCAGGCCCTTGCAGCCTCCCCGAGCAGGCCAGTGCATCGTCCACCCGTGCTGGCTGTTGGCCTTCTGACGTCCCAGCGTGGCGCCTGGACCACGGTGACCACCACGCTGGCGCCAGTGGGGCCTTGTACTCGCTGCCAGCTCCAGCGTGGAGTCAGAGAGGTGGTCTGACATCGGGCTCCTCGCGGGCCACCAACAGCTGCCCGAGAAGAGGCTGACTGATGGGTGATGCCAACGCTCGTAGGAGGCCCAGATGTGGACCAAGGCACAAGCAAGCAGCCGCTGGAACTGTCCTGTGCCTCCATGTGAAAATCTTTGATTAATGGCCATTTCTGTTCCACCCAGCCACAGAAAACGCTTGAACACTGGAAAGCTTCGCCCTGCTCCGCTTTGGAAACCGTACCAGTTCAGTTAGATAATCTAGAAAGGGGAATGATGGGGTTGGGGGGGAGAGCACATAAAACCTGCCATCAGTCAGTCCATTCCCCCACCCAGCTGGGTCCTTAAAGCTAAATGTGATATCTGGGCAGCACAGTGGCAAGTGTGCTCAGTGATCACAGCTTGTCGTGACCAGTGGGCAGTGTAGATTGGTTTTTGCGTTCAGTCACTTCCCAGTTACAGCTGTGGGAAGATACTGACCTCGGGTCTGTCGGCTCCAAGGAACAGATTAAAATTTGTTTTACTCTTCAAGTGTCACTTGGCAGCAGCTAAAGAATTTGACAGCACAGAAGGGGATGCCAGGTAGAAACATCCATCATTTTAGCTGATTAGCCCTAGCCAGTAGGTCTATTTGATGTCATGCTGGCCTTCAAAGAGGATCGTACTTCTAGGCATACGTTGAATTTGGAGGGTCAGCATTCTATGGACTTGAGGAGGAGGAAAGGTTGGTCAGGTGGATTTCTTAGCTAGACCTTCACTGGGGGAACTGCCCCGAGAACCACTGCCAATGGTACATTTTTAGTCCAGCTTGCGTCTCTCTTCGTTGAGGTAAGCTAAGCCTTCCTCTGGTCCCATAGTAGTAGTGGCAGCAAAGCCAAACTTCAGTTTTTTACGAATGCACAGTGAAAAGCAGTTGTAGCTTTTGAAATCCTCAGTGCTCTCTTCCTCCTTGGCACATGAACCAGTGTACTTTTCCAGACTCTTGCCACTGACAGCCCTGGCTCCTGGGAACACAGAGCATCTCCCACCCTCCCCTGGAAGCAGGAGGCTGAGCCTGACAGGCTGGGCTCCTCCAGTTCAGGTCCCGTGGAAATGTGCAGCCAGGCCTTGCTGGTCCAGGCAGCAGCAACGCTTTCATGCTGGGAAGAGCATGGTGGTTCCCAGGCAGGCCGCGGAGAGTCCGGGTGGTTGTATTCAGCTGGAGGCCGGGCTGAAACAAAGCAATCCCCCCGAGCTGAGGACGAATCCAGCCCGTGGCACGCAGCAGCCTCAGCACCAGGCTGGCTGCTCCTGTGCCACGGTGGGGCACAGCCGTCCGGGAACAGGATGCCGTCTGACTCCCAGACTGTGTTTGCTCACGGCCGGACATGTTTCTGCTGCTCTGCCCAGCTGGTGCTTGTGAACCACCCTGACCCCTGCGCCCTCACCTCACCGGTTATTTTTCTCCACCCTTTGGTTGTTTTTCAGCTGCCTTACCTCACAGCCAGAGGAGTTCAACACCGTCGAGTGAACTAGCAGCCACGCCGCCGGGCAGTCCCCACCACATTCTGGCATGGCAGACTGGGTGAGTGTCTGGGGGATCGGCTTAGAGCATCCACCTCGTTCAGTGACGGTGAGAAAAACCTCCCCGCACACCAGCAAAGGGAGAGCAGAGGTTTGGGGAACATCTTGCAGGTGCCCCATAGCCTACACCCGCCCAGAGCATTTCCAGCCTCCCAGCCATGCTCTCGTGGCGGCGGAGCTCTAGTTTAGGCTGACCACGACAGGGCAGTGCCATCCTCGCCCAGCAGCGCTGCTCCAAGCAGTGCCGGATCCACGGGGAATGAAGCCTTGCAGGTTCTTCCTGCTTGGACAGTCTCTTTCCTCCAATTTTCCATATGTTGAAATAGCTGATGATTATTTTTTTTTAGCCACCATCGCAGTGGCTGTCCAGACCGAGGAGATCTTTGTTGTAAAGGCAAGGTTAGGTGCCTACCATAATTGTGTGAGCAGCAATCCCATTTTCCTGCTAGGTTTTCCCTAGCAACGTGTCTTAATAACTATTAAGGGCATCTTTTTTCAGCTACCACTAACAACATGCTTCGCCAAAGCGAGAGTGAGTCATTACATGCAGGTAGCCATTACTCATGTAAATACAGTAATTGGGTTCTTTGGCACCTCTTTGTGAGGCAGGGAGGTCTGGGAGTAAAAGAAGCCTTTTGCAAGCTCCCATGGGTATTCTCCAGCAATCTCCTGTAATTCTGTCCTGCCACTTGAAATAAAGATAATTTCCAGATCCCGTCTAGCTCAACATGTCCCAGATTTTTGCGTCCAAATTGAGTTCGGTGAGATCAGCTAGAAAGCTTCAGACTGCAGTCCTCAAAATACTGTAGGCCCTTGAGTAGGAAAACAGATACAATCCCCTGAGTTGTGAATTGGGACCGGTGACTTTGCAGACATTTCACTGTGCACCCACTGGAAAACCTCATGCTTCTTAATTTCTTCTGGTCACCTATGACCAAGTTGGACCTCTGCTTTTACTCCGGCACTGCTCGTGACTGCACTTTTAAAATGGAGACGAGGAGAACCATAACCACAACCCCCTTAGGCTTACCTTGGATTTCAAATTCACCCATTTGATATCCAGACTCACGTGGTCTTTGCATGCGCTTTAGAACAGGAGAAATTCCCTGGTCCCATTTCACAAAGCAGCAGCTATGTCTACTGTACGCTGAAATTTCCACTATCAAGCATTTGAGTCTAGACTCAAATCTTAGTCTCAGACCTCAACCCCTCTAAATACCTCCATGATGATCAGAAGTAAAACTGGTGAGCAGCCAGCTGAGAAATGTTTGGAAAATCCCAACTTTTTGTATTTTTCCATTCAAGAAAACTCCTGCACCCTGTCTCTCATAGCAAAAATGCATCAAGCCAAATTCTCAGCTGGTGAAAGCAAAGTTTATCTGGATTTATAGCTTAGGCCCTGCACTGACAACCAAAGTGCAAAAAGAATTGGAGACAAATCAGCACTTACTTCGTGCCTGAGCGTAACACCCAGGCGTATGTATAAATACAGTAGGAGCAGATGAAGTTTGCCGTTAGATGCACCACACAAACGCCCCCACAGCTGGAGCGGCCTGCGCCCTCCCAGCACAACCCAAAAGACCGACAGTTCTCCCCAACGTGTTTTTGTGTCACTAACTTTTTCTAAAGATGATTCATCAACTTGTTTCCCCACTGGATTAATAAGCTCGTAACAATGTCTGTGTCACTTCTTTTCTTTAACATTTCCTCTCTCCTCTTTCCTCCTTTTTTGCTCTCCTTTGTTCAGAGAAGCAACAGACAACTCACCCACTATGGATGAGTCTCAGTCTCCAACCCACCAAAGTACTGATGAATAGAGGTATAGTAAGGGAACGTTTTGTTCTTTCATCCTTCTGCCTTACAGTCCGTGAACCCAGTGCGAATAACTGGCATCCTGCTGTCCCAGAGGAGCAGCCCTTTTACTTGTGGCCCTCTCTGGCACCAAGGCTTCCTTCAGCTCTCGGGAGAACAACTTGAAAGCATCTCGAAGCCCTCTCTGTGCCTTTTCAGCAAGTTTGCGGCTGTGGCGCTCTCCCCTGTGAAAGAGGACTTCGGGCCAGCCCGCTCGGCGCTCAGGCAGAGGTTGAACGGGCACAGAGAGCAGGCGGTAGTGACAAATTTGTGGCTGGGGACATTTCGAAGCAGCGTGGGCAGAGTGCTGCGGGGAGAGTCTGGGAGCAGCATGGTGGGGAGATGAGCTCGGGTAAACGGGGGCCTCGGAGGACCTGGACTGAGCTCCCGGCAGCGCTCCAGCCACGGCACCGGGCACCCCTTTCTCCTCCTTCCCTACCGCAGAGCAGAGCTGTGAGGCTGTGAGCAGCAGCAAGGCTTCATGGAACAAGGAGCAGCCCTGGCCCTGTTCCTGTGGGAACACAGAGGGGGAAGGGTGGAGGGAACAAAAAAACCCTCGGAGTATTTCTGTTTTAATTAAACTGCCTCGCTGTCTGACGCTCTCATTTGAATCTACAGCCATTCACAGCTGGCATCTGTCAAGTATTTCAAGCCCAGCTTTCTAGAGATAACCCATAAACCTCCGTACTCCAGCACGGAGCTGGGAAACAAAAGGCTCTTAACGTGCAGCCGGTGGTGCCCTTGCTCAGGTTCCTCCCAGGGAAACCAGGGCAGAGGAAGCAGGACCTGCCGGACTGCAGCAGATGTGAGATCAGTCCTACGAGGTGGGGAGGGAGCAGTGAGAAACCCCCAGGAAACAGAAAGAAAAATGCATCTTTTGGCCTCAAAACAATCTCGAGTTTGGAAGTTGGTTCAAATCAAAGTGTGAGGGAGAGACCCCAATTCTGAATATTACTATGCAGATATAGCAGTCACTTTTCAAAATACCCAGATTTTGACCTCGGCGTTTTCCTCTGGCAAGGAGCTCCGCAGACTAAGCCAGGAGCCGACCCTGGCAGGAGCTTTAAGATAAATAGCAAAGAAAATTCCCATAAACTGCCTCATCTGCGCTGTGCAAGCAAACAAAAAGCCATGCAGCAAAAGCAGCAGTAGCTTGTCAGGAGAGGTGCCCCAAGATGAGCGCTAGGCTGCCTGTGACAAAACACGGTCCTTCCCGCACTGGACCTGGCACCCTCTCTCACTAGTCGCTTCCTAGCTCATCCCTGGAAAGCCACGTAACTCCGGGATCGCCAGGGGATGCGCAAGCCTCTGCCCAGAGCAGAGGTGCTACGGGAAAGCACCACCACCCTCCTCCTTCCGCCCTCTCAGTAGGTGCCACAGCCTGTGGCCGGGAGGGCTGCTCTGCCGGCTCGCTCCCTGGAGAGCATCCTACTAAAAATCTCTTTGCTCGCGCTCACTCCCGGGCAGGAAAGCAAGCCGGAGCCCCTTAGGCAAGGCAGAGCCCTGCTGCTGTACCCCCGGAGGGGAGAGGCCACATCCAGAGAAAGCCGAGGCAGGCGTGGTACCACGGGCGGTGGGATGGACACAGCTGGTGGGGGCGGCCCCCAGCTCTCGCCCTCCGG